CTAGTCCCAGGTCTAGTCCAGGTCTAGTCCTGGACTAGACCCGGACTAGACCAGGTCTAGCCCTGGTCTAGTCCCGGTCTAGTCCAGGTCTAGTCCAGGTCTAGTCCAGGTCTAGTCCAGGTCTAGTCCAGGTCTAGTCCAGGTCTAGTCCAGGTCTAGTCCAGGTCTAGTCCAGGTCTAGTCCGGGTCTAGTCCAGGTCTAGTCCAGGTCTAGTCCGGGTCTAGTCCAGGTCTAGTCCGGGTCTAGTCCAGGGTCTAGTCCAGGTCTAGTCCAGGTCTAGTCCGGGTCTAGTCCGGGTCTAGTCCAGGTCTAGTCGAGGTCTAGTCCAGGTCTAGTCCGGGTCTAGTCCGGGTCTAGTCCAGGTCTAGTCCCGGTGGTGGGTGGTACCTGGCAGGTCCTCCGGTGATGGTGGCGTCGATCACGTAGTCGTTGTCGATGCGAAACATGTAAACTCCACGATTCTAAAAACACAAAAATATGATTTTATCAAACAAAGAAAGAAAACGCTTCAAATCCTCATGATTAAACTTCAGACACACGAGAGGGCATCAGGTGTACAGGGAGGGCATCAGGAGTACGGGGAGGGCATCAGGAGTACGGGGAGGGCATCAGGTTAGGGAGGCATCAGGAGTACGGGGAGGGCATCAGGAGTACGGGGAGGGGTAGGGCATCAGGGAGGGCATCAGGGCATCAGTACAGGGAGGGCATCAGGAGGGCATCGGAGGGCATCAGGGTACGGGGAGGGCAATCAGGAGTACGGGGAGGAGTACGGGGAGGGCATCAGGAGTACGGGGAGGGCATCAGGAGTACGGGGAGGGCATCAGTATAACAGGGAGGGCATCAGGTGTACAGGGGGAGGGACGGAGGAGGGCATCAGGAGTACAGAGAGGGCATCAGTACAACAGGGAGGGCATCAGGAGTACGGGGAGGGCATCAGGATAGGGAGTACAGGCATCAGTACGGGAGGCATCAGGGACGGGAGGCATCAGGGTACGGGGAGGGCATCAGTACGGGGAGGGCATCAGTACGGGGAGGGCATCAGTGGGGAGGGCATCATCGGGAGGGCATCAGGAGTACGGGGAGGGCATCAGGAGTACGGGGAGGGCATCCGGTGTACGGGGAGGGCATCAGGTGTACGGGGAGGGCATCAGGTGTACCTGGGACTCGTAGAGTCGTTCTTTGCGGTTTGCCACTTCGCTCCTGATGATCGTCCCGATGTACTCGATCACCATGGTGCATTTCTCGATGTCCCGCGCCGCGTACAGACCCAGACCCTGAACACACCACAAGACCACGTTTAGACCACGTTAAGACCGGGTTTAGACCGGGTTTAAGACCAGGCTCCAAACCAGGCTCAAGACCAGGTTTAAGACCACGTTTAGACCGGGTTTAAGACCAGGTTTACACCAGGTTTACACCAGGTTTACACCAGGTTTAGACCAGGTTTAGACCAGGTTTAGACCAGGTTTAGACCAGGTTTAAACACAGTTTAAGTCCCCGGTTCAGTACTGGTTTTAGTCCTGGTCAAGTCCCTGGTTCAATCCCAGTCCAGTCCTGGTCTAGTCCTATTTCAGTTTAGTCCTGGTTTAGTCCTGGTTTAGTCCTGTTTCAGATTAGTTCTAGTTCTAGTCCAGTCCCATTTCAGTCTAGTCGTGGTCCAGTTCTGTCCCGGCTCAGTCCCGGCTCAGTCCTGGTTCAGTCCTGGTTCAGTCCTGGTTCAGTCCCGGTCTGGTCCGGGTCCGGTCTGACCTGGATGCGTGAACGGGCCAGGTACACGTTGCTCTTCCACTCGGCTTTCATGCGTCTGTACTGGGCAGACTTGGAGTGACGTCCCTGGTGGCCGCTGGACACGGACTCGCCCGGGGACAGGGACAGAACCCCGGGGACCAGACCCACGATGGAGCCCACCGAGCCCTGGCACCGCGGCGCCACGCTGGTCAGGAACGTCGGCCTGGAGAGGGAGGGCATCCGGGTCAAAACATCACACACACTTCACTACAGACGGAGTTTGTTTCACGTGGATCGAGCGAGAAAAAAATCTGACCCAGAAACCAGGACAAAGACGAGAACTCGACTGCCCCAAATCTAAGACGTTTTTTACTTAAAAGACGACGAAGACCAACTCCGCTCCCTTTATGTGGACGAAAAACACCAGATCCAGTTCTAAAAAAGACCAAACGACTAAACCTAGAATCTAAGAGCCTCTGAACTGATGATCCGTCCTGCGTCGTCCTCCACTTCACCGACTCTTTGGCGCAGGAGACCAGAGTTTAGTATCAGACGTTGATTCACGTTACAGGATTTCACATGTTGATTTGAGTTTATAAAAAAATTAACTAATGAAATTTAAGACCTTTGTGAAACAAATAAGACTTGAACAACAAAATTTAAGACTTTTTAAGGACTTAAATTACGAAAATGAGATTTAAGACCTTTTTAAGACTTTTAAAACCCTGCGGCTGCTCTGGGTTTAGACCTGAACTAGACCTAGTTTAGTTTAGACTTGCTTTAGACCTATTTTAGACCTGCTTTAGACCTATTTTAGACCTGCTTTAGATCTGTTTTAGACCTATTTTAGACCTATTTTAGACCTATTTTAGACCTGCTTTAGACCTATTTTAGACCTGCTTTAGATCTGTGTTAGACCTGCTTTAGACCTATTTTAGACCTGCTTTAGACCTATTTTTGACTCGCTTTAGACCTGTTTTAGATCTGTTTTAGACCTGCTTTAGATCTGTTTTAGACTTAATCCTGTTTTAGACCTGCTTTAAACCTATTTTAGACCTGTTTTAGACCTATTTTAGACCTGTTTTAGACCTATTTTAGACCTGTTTTACCTGTTTTTAGACCTATTTTAGACCTTTTAGACTTAGTCCTGCTTTAGACCTGTTTTAGACCTGCTTTAGACCTGCTTTAGACCTATTTTAGACCTGTTTTAGACCTATTTTAGACCTGTTTTAGTCCTATTTTAGACCTGCTTTAGACCTATTTTAGACCTGTTTTAGTCCTGTTTTAGACTTAGTCCTGTTTTAGACCTTTAGACCTTTAGACCTGTTTTAGACCTGTTTTAGACCTATTTTAGACCTGTTTTAGACCTATTTTAGACCTGTTTTAGACCTGTTTTAGACTTAGTCCTGTTTTAGACCTATTTTAGACCTGTTTTAGACCTGTTTTAGACTTAGTCCTGTTTTAGACCTTTTTTAGACCCGCTTTAGACTTGCTTTTAGACCTTTTAGACCTATTTTAGGCCTGTTTTAGACCTGTTTTAGACTTAGTCCTGCTTTAGACCTATTTTAGACTTGCTTTAGACTTGCTTTAGACTTGTTTTAGACCTGTTTTAGACTTAGACCTGCTTTAGTTCTGTTTTAGTCCCAGTTTAGTCCTGGTTCAGAGAGGAAGGTTGTGGGTTAGATTCTCAGTCAGGAGGTTGTGGGTTAGATTCTCGTACCTTTTGGCCTGCAATGCCTTGGGTTCGGAGCGGGCAGAGCCGGTCGGGTTGAAGGCGAGGGGCCACTCCATCAGAGGGTTCTTCCCAAATCTGAAGGTGTATTGCTCACAGGCCTCGACCCCGGGCAGCTGAGGAGACACGACGCAGTGATCGTCAGAACAAACACAGAACAGATTCAGCTCCGTCTTCTGCAGAGCTCCACACTCCCCCTCTCTGTGTGACGCTAACTGTAGGCACTGCTCTGTCTGAGGCTGGACTCTGAGCTGTGATGTCGCTGCAGAGAATCACTTGTGTTTTGTGGAGCGTTGTCCAAAAATCTCAACACTCAGATGATAATGAATTCTTAAACACGTAATAAAATTAAATATTCTTTTGAATGTGGGTCGAGTTCTAGAATTTATTGATGTGATGTTTCAGATATTGTGCAGGAGCCTAAAGAGCTCTGTGGGAGATTCACTGGGTTTAAAATAAATCTCCAAACTTCAGATCCAGAAATGTTTCTCCTTCTCTTTCTTAGTTTGTGATCAGCTCCACAAACATCATTTTCATTGTCATTTTAATCTCACGTGTTAAAGTCCTTTCAGCTGAAACTCTCTTGTCTTTGGGGCTGAATAACGGCTCCACTTTCTGAAGCGACTCAAAAAAAAAAAAAAAAAAAAACCTTTAGACTTTAGTTTACTTCTCATGACAGAAGAGTCTGAACTTTGTGCCAGTTTTTGTTTCATGTGGACAGTTCCGGGAATTGGAGATCTGAACCATAAACCAGCTCAGCGACAGTTTCTGACACAGCGTCGCGGGGGCGTCGCGGTGTGAGCCGCTCCCACACGTAGGGGGCGCTGTGGAGAAGCAGACGTACCGATTCGATGATGCGAGTGACCGCAGACGTGGTCAGGCCGAAGAGCTCCTCCCCCTTCAGATAAACAGGAAACAGTTTGAGGCTTCCACTGGACGCTCTCATCTGAGCGATGGGCTCCAGCACCTGCTCCCACACGGCTGAAAGTACAAAGCACCAACAAACATGTGAGCCAACTACAGGAGAGAAACAAACTACAGACGAAGTACAGACGGACTACAGACGGAGTACAGACAAACTACAGACAAACTACAGACAAACTACAGACGGACTACAAACTACACACAAACTACACACAAACTACAGACGGAATACAGACGGACTACAGACAAACTACACACAAACTACACACAAACTACAGACGGACTACAGACGAACTACAGACAAACTACACACAAACTACAGACAAACTACAGACGGACTACAGACAAACTACAGACGGACTACACACAAACTACACACAAACTACAGACGGACTACAGACAAACTACAGACGGACTACAGACAAACTACAGACGGACTACACACAAACTACACACAAACTACAAACTACAGACAAACTACAGACGGACTACAGACAAACTACACACAAACTACAGACAAACTACAGACGGACTACAGACAAACTACAGACGGACGGTACAGGGAAACTACACACAAACTACAGACAAACTACAGACGAACTACACACAAACTACAGCTGAACTACAGACAAACTACAGACGGACTACAGACGGACTACAGACAAACTACAGACGGACTACAGACTGACTACAGACAAACTACAGCTGAACTACAGACAAACTACAGCTGAACTAGACAAACTACAGCTGAACTACAGACAAACTAGAGACAAACTACAGATTTGTAAAAAGGTTTGAAACATGAGGAACTGAAACACTGAGGAAAAACAGAAACTAAACCAGGTCTTTGTTTGTGGTCCCTGTTTGAGTGAATATTACCTCAGTACTTTATAAGAGTATCAGAGTATCAGAGTGTATTACCTCAGTACTTTATAAGAGTATCAGAGTGTATTACCTCAGTACTTTATAAGAGTATCAGAGTATATTACCTCAGTACTTTATAAGAGTATCAGAGTATCATAGAGTACACAGGGAGTATTGTACATGTACCTTTGGGGGAGGAGCCCGTCAGGACCAGGTCTTCGTGTCCCTTTTCCACCACTTTGATTTTAAAAAGCGGCTGAGAGTCTTTCTCTTCGATGTAACACATGTACTTACACCTCCTGCACACAAGAGGCGCCACACTGTTAAACACGTCACTCAATATTACAGCAAAGCACTTCCTGAGGTGGGTCTCAATATTTCTCAATTAAAGTAAATAATAAAACATAATCATTAAAACAAAGACACTTGATCATCAGGCACAGATCTGTTACCATAGAAACACAACAGAGAAGAGTCTGAGCGACGAGTCACTGACGACCAGAGTCTGAGAGACCTGCAGCTCAGACCCGACTCACCTGCAGCTCAGACCTGATGTCACCCTCAGGAGGTGGTTGTCATGGTAACACAGGTGAGTCTTACCTGTGTCTGTGCCTCATGCTCCAGTAGAGGCGGTTGGCGTGGTAACCCACGGGGTAGATGGCGCTGTTGCTGTGGAAGGCGTGGAGCTGCGAGGGCAGGAGACGTCCCACGGCTCTGAACAGGAGGCTGCCCACTCTGAAGGTGTGCTGGCGCTCGCCGCGCTGCACCACGGCGGCGATCTGCCGCGCCTCGTCTCGCTGCACGTACACGCGCCGAAACACGGCGAAGCACCGCAGCTCCGAGTCGTACGGGTCGGAGGTCACGGCGGGGTCGTACGGCGAGGAGGACGGGCTGAGGGCGAGCGAGCGCGGCTTATGCAGGTGACACAGCATCGTCTTATCCTGGAACCACACACACAGTCACAACACTGCCCAGAATAATGCCCAGATGCCCTCCCCGTGTGTGTCAGGCCCCGTGTGTGTCAGGTCCCTCCCCGTGTGTGTCAGGTCCCTCCCCGTGTGTGTCAGGTCCCTCCCCGTGTGTGTCAGGTCCCTCCCCGTGTGTGTGTACCTTGAAGAATGTGCACTGGGCCTGGATGGCGCAGGTGAAGTGGTAGGTGTTGGTGCAGCGGAGGCGGTTGCAGCCGCTCGTGGCTCCGGTCTGTTGGCAGTGGGCACAGCGCAGGGTCAGGCCTCTCCTCAGCGCCAGCTCCACGTTGATCAGAGCTCCAGCCTGAGTCTCGTACACCTCACTGGACCAGAGCGCACAGTTCAGATGCACCTGCAGGGGGCGGCACAGAGGGCACAGAGGGCACAGAGGGCACAGTCAAACAGGAGTTTAAATTAAATATTTTTCAGATTTTTCAGACTATTCAAACAGAGAGCGGGCACACAGAGAGCGGGCACACAGAGAGCGGGCACACAGAGAGCGGGCACACAGAGCATCACTGACCCATAGATCCAGGTCGAGGTTGAGCAGGCGCGCGGGTCCGTCGGTCACTCCGTCTCCGTGCTGTTGGCAGAAGCAGCAGCGGCGCAGATCTTTGGGCGTCGGGTCTCCACGAAGACACGAGCCCAGAGTCTGGATGTCGTCGTCCGTCAGCGGCTCCGGGGGCACGCACGGCCCTCTGGGTAAAAACACACAACAAAGTCTGGACAACTCTTCAAAACACCAGCGGGGCAGAACTGAACGAGTCAAACATCTACACACAGTTTCAATCAACTTTATTCAACTTAATCCATTTTATTATTATTCAGAGGAGTAAAAGCGTCAGAGAAAATCCCCTCAGCAGGTGAAGTGCTGAGGCGGGGCTTTGTGGAGGGGGCGGGGTTATCTCACCTGGGAAGGGGGTGGGGCTTTGTGGAGGGGGCGGGGTTATCTCACCTGCAGAGGGGGCAGGGGTTTGTGGAGGGGGCGGGGTTATCTCACCTGCTCAGGGTGATGCTCACGCTCCAGCGTCTCCACCTGCAGCTCTTGGATCTCTTGGCGTGTCTCGGTTCTTCTCCCCCAGGAACAGCTCTGGGTCTGGGCTTCAGTTTAACCTTCACCTGCAGCAACAACCACACATTTACTAACAGGACTAAACCAGGACTAAACAAGGTCTAAACCAGGTCTAAACCAGGACAAAATTTACGTAATCTAATCCAGTCTAATCTAAAACTGAACACCCCAAGATTATAACCCGGCATAATCCTGGTTATAGTCGGGGCTC